AAAGATAGTATTTTGTTTGTTTATAGTATTTTAACACTTTAGAAAGGGTTTAAATCTTGAAGTAGTGTATAATGTTGACTGAGTATGGTGGTGGGGAAACATGGCCATGACATACTAAATACTCGTAGCAATAAAGAAGGTGGAAACATGCTATTCAGCTCAGCTAAAACTATAAGGAGCAGCACTTGATGACCTATGCGTGCTTAGCGCTAAGTATAATAATAATAATAATCAATAATAGTAATAAAAAAGAAAACAGAATAGAGCATGACACAATACTCGCAGAAACAGTTCGCATCTTCAAGAAGAGGTATGATAACCCAACTAGTAAACAGCAGAATACTGACCAAATGCTGGAGTTCAATCGCCACAAACTCAGCTAGGTAATCACAACTGGTTTTACACAATACTACAGTATTCTTACATGTACCATTAATATTGTGATGAATGGTTTTGGAAACCGACAAGTTGAAGGAGACACCTGTGCAATATATGGGAATCTTTATTAAGGAAACGTTTCGCCACACACTGTGGCGAAACGTTTCCTCAATAAAAATTCCCATATATTGCACAAGTGTCTCAATCTTCACCATTCATATTGTACCATTCATACATATTGTACCATTCATGCATACTGTATCATACATATTGTACCATTCATGCATACTGTATCATACATAATGTACCATTCATGCATACTGTATCATACATAATGTACCATTCACACATATTGTACCATTCATACATACTGTACCACGGGAGACAGTGGTACGCGAGGTTACAACTTTGTGTAGCACGTAAACGGTACGTGATGTGCACATGTGATAACAAAGCATATGATACTCAGGGATTAATATTCGGGGAAGAGGAGCAGTGGAGGGAAAGGGGGGGGGGGAATTTGGCAAGTGGGGATGTGCAGTGGGGAGGAAGTGGAAAGGAGGGGACAGCCGGGGGGGGGGACCTGACTTCCGACATTGTTGTCTTTCCCAAACTGTCCAATTCATTGGGAGATATTACACGGAATATTAATACGGTATCTTTTGCGCGCATGTGCGTGTGCTTGTGTTCATGTGTGGACACGCGTGTGTGCGTTATTTCGACTTACAGTTGATGCGCGTCTCAGGTGATATTCTCGGTTACCTGGAGGTTACCTGGAGGTTATTCCGTGGATCAACGCCCCCGCGGCCCGGTCCATGACCAGGCCTCCCGATGGATCAGGGCCTGATCAACTAGGCTGTTACTGCTGGCCGCACGCAGTCCAACGTACGAGCCACAGCCCGGCTGATCCGGCACTGACTTTAGGTATCTGTCCAGCTCTCTCGTGAAGGCAGCCAGGGGTTTATTGGCAATTCCCCTAATGCTTGATGGGAGGCTGTTAAACAGTTTTGGGCCCCGGACACTTACGGTGTTTTCCCTTAGTGTACCAATGGCGCCCCTACTTTTTATTGGGGGCATTTTGCATCGCCTGCCCAGTCTTTTACTTTCGTAGGGACTGATTTCTGTGTGCAGATTTGGGACCATTCTTTTCAAGATTTTCCAAGTGTAGATTATGATATATCTATCCCTCCTGCGTTCCAGCGAGTACAAGTCAAGTGCTTCCAAGCGTTCCCAGTAGTTAAGGTGCTTGACAGAACTTATACGTGCAGTAAAGGATCTCTGTACACTCTCTAGATCTGCGATTTCACCTGCTTTGAATGGAGATGTTAATGTACAGCAGTATTCCAGCCTAGAGAGAACAAGTGATTTGAAAAGGATCATCATGGGCTTGGCATCTCTCGTTTTGAAAGTTCTCATTATCCATCCTATCATTTTCTTTGCACGTGCGATCGTGGCACTGTTGTGATCCTTGAAAGTGAGATCCTCAGACATTACTACTCCCAGGTCCCTTACATTATTTTTCCGCTCTATTGTATGGCCGGAGTCAGTAGTATACTCTGTTCTAGTTATTATCTCCTCCAGTTTTCCATAACGGAGTAGTTGGAATTTGTCCTCATTGAACATCATGTTGTTTACCGTTGCCCACTGGAAAACTTTGTTTATATCTTCTTGGAGGTTAACCGCGTCCTCAGCAGATGACAGCCTCATGCAGATCCTAGTATCATCCGCAAAGGATGATACGGTGCTGTGGTGTATATCTCTGTTTATGTCTGATATGAGGATAAGGAATAAGATGGGGGCGAGTACTGTGCCTTGTGGAACAGAGCTCTTCACTATGGCAGCCTCCGATTTAACTCTGTTGACCACTACTCTTTGTGTTCGATTTGTTAGGAAGTTGAAGATCCATCTCCCCACTTTCCCAGTTATTCCTTTAGCACGTATTTTATGGGCTATTACGCCATGATCGCATTTGTCAAATGCTTTTGCAAAGTCTGTGTATATTACATCTGCATTCTGATTTTCTTCCAGTGCATCCAAGGCCATGTCATAGTGATCCAGTAGTTGTGAGAGGCAGGAGCGACCTGCCCTGAACCCATGTTGCCCTGGATTGTGCAGATTTTGGGAATCCAGGTGATTTGCAATCCTGCTTCTTAGCACTCTTTCAAAGATTTTTATGATGTGGGACGTCAGAGCTATTGGTCTATAGTTCTTAGCTAATGCTTTGCTGCCACCTTTATGGAGTGGGGCTATATCCGTTGTTTTAAGTGACTGTGGAATTTCACCCATGTCCAAGCTCCTCCTCCATAGTGTACTTAGGGCACGCAGAGGGGTTTCTTGCAGTTCTTAATGAAAACAGAGTTCCACGAGTCTGGGCCCGGGGCTGAGTGCATAGGCATGTTGTCAATGGCTTTTTCGAAATCTATCGGAGTTAGGGTAATGTCGGAAATCTGGCATACATTTATGGAGTTTTGAGGCTCATTCATGAAGAAATCATTTGGGTCGTCGATCCTCAGACCGATTAGTGGTTCACTAAACACAGAGTCGTACTGGGATTTCAATATTTCACTCATTTCCTTGTTGTCATCTGTGTAAGTCCCATCCTGTCTGAGTAAGGGCCCGATACTAGATGTGGTATTTGCCTTGTTTTTGGCATATGAAAAGAAATATTTTGAATTTCTTTCAATTTCACTAATAGCTTTAAGCTCCTCCTGCCTCTCCTGGTTCCTGTAAGAGTCATTTAGCTTAAGTTCGATAGTTTCCACTTCCCTGGTCAGCGCCTCCTTTCGTGTATCAGATATTCTAGCACTCCTGAGGAGCTCAGTGACTCTTCGTCGTCTTCTGTAGAGGGAGCGTCTTTTTCTCTCCAGTTTACTCCTGCTCTTCTTCTTTCTTAGGGGAATATGCCTAGAACATGCTTCGGCTACCAGGAAGTTGATCCTTTCAAGGCACTGGTTTGGATCCATGTCATTTAAGACATCTTCCCAACATGTTTCGTTTAGGACATGGTTTACCTGGTCCCAGTTGATGTTCTTGTTGTTGAAATTGTATTTTGTGAAGACACCTTCACAGGTACATGCATTCTGCTGTTCAGGACCCCTATGCATGTACGTCTGGACTTCGATTAGATTGTGATCGGAATTAGTTGTTTTTGATATTCTTATGTCTCTTATCAGGTCCTCATTATTTGTGAAGATAAGGTCAAGGTTTACTGTGTGACTGGACCTCCTCAGCTGATGAAGCAGCGCTTACTGATGCTGCTACTTAAGCTGATACTACTGCTGATGCTAATGTCCTCTACTGACGGAAATACTCCCTACTGACGCTAGTACCCCCTACTGATGCACTTGCTGCTGGTATTATTGCTGATGCTGGTAATGATGCTAATAATGCTATAATACGGCTACTGCTACTTATTCCATTATTGATGCTAATTCTGCAATATATGTTGCTGCAACTAATGATGCTAATACGCGGCTTCTGTTATGATGCTACTGATGCTGATGATTCCAGTGGTGCTTATGCTGCTGATATTGATGCTGCAGGTGCTGCTACTTATGCTGATATTGATGCTGCAGGGACTGCTACTTATGCTGATATTGATGCTGCAGGGGCTGCTACTTATGCTGATATTGATGCTGCAGGGGCTGCTACTTATGCTGATGTTGATGCTGCAGGGGCTGCTACTTATGCTGATATTGATGCTGCAGGGGCTGCTACTTATGCTGATATTGATGCTGCAGGGGCTGCTACTTATGCTGATATTGATGCTGCAGGGGCTGCTACGTCTGCTGATGAAGAGTGTGACGTTGTATATGGTCCAAGTCGGACCGAAACGTCGTCGTAAGCCCCTCTCTATGTGTGGGTTATTTGTGTGCAAATGCTGATGTTGATGCTGCTGGTGCAGCTGGGCTGTGGTTCGTACATTGAACTACGTACAGCCAGCAGTATCAGCCTAGTTGATCAGGCCATAATCCACCGAGAGACCTGGTCATGGACCGGACCGCGGGGGCGTTGATCCCCGGAATACCCTCCAGGTAGACTCCAGGTATCGATATTGATGCTGCTGCTGATGCTGCTCCTACCATCACCCCTGTTGGTAGCAACCTCAACATCCCGCCTTCACTACCAACGTTACCATGTTTACTACCACCATCACCCCACTATCGCCAACTCCCCCATCACCTACACCCCTTGCCGTCACCACCACCAGCAACGCGCCAGCTTTGCTAGAGGTTGTGGTGGTGGGCGTGGTCATCTACGACTGATGCCCCTCAATACAACACATCTTCATCTTTTACGTTTCCTCAGATTTTGATGAAGTGATCAAGATTGACGTGTAGGAGGAGAAATATCCTTCATTAGTTATCATGTATACCATACATTTGTTTTTCATTGAAGGATCTCTGGAAATAGACTGAAAAATCCTGCAGCCTCAACGATAAGCTTGTGGCTCGTTGTACTATTGTAATTATGAAATTGTCGTGAGAAGTGTAGAAATAGGGTGTAGATGAGTGTGTGTTTTAGGGGGGGAACAAAAGAGACGTAGTGTTTTGTGGCAGTAAGGTTAGTAAAACAGTAACCGGTATCTTGTGCGCGGGCGGGGAGTTGAATGCGCCGGGAGTGGTGCGCCATCTTCAGTCAAGCAGTGGCTGCCAGTGTGGTGAGGCGTTACCCCGCTCATCCTCCCTCATACCTCCCTCTCTCTCTCTCCATCTCTACTGACAACGCCGTTATGATCATATCCAGGATAAGATAGATCCCCAGGCTCTTAGTCTCGAGGCCTGTTTAAGTGAGCGGCATCCAGTGGAATAGTTGTGGCCGTTTTTATTTAGTGGGAAGAATTGCGCAGGGTGATACGCTCAAGCTGGCCCAGTTGTTTGCAAGTGGTTTAGTTATCTTGTATGAAAAACAGATAGTTGTTATCGCACGCCGCAGGGACTTCACCGAAAAGTACAGCATCCATCTCAGTCCTACAGATCTACTAGGTAAGTTGACTAAAAAAAAAAAAAATCTCCTTTGGTGACTTTGAAACTTGCAGGGCGGCGCGAATTAAGTTCGCTAACCTGTAGCGTTGCATAGCGAAGCTGCAACCCGCTTTAAGTTACATTGTAACGGGTATCTTAGTGTTACTTTGCAAGCTTGTGGAAGCCGGGAGTCTGGTCGAGGCTGAAGTCCAAGTGACAGTATGGTGACTGGACAAGCTGGGTTTAGCGGGTGGGAGTGAAGTGAACAAAGTGGGCGAATAAGCGAGTCACTTGGGCCAAGTGCAGCTCACACAGGTAAGTGATGATGCCTCAGTCCGTTCGCTCTCCCCACGCTTGCTAGGAGCTAGGTCTTCCTAGTTCCTTGTTAACGGATAGGTCTTCTTGGTTCCTTGTTAGGGGCTGAGTCTTTCTGGTTCCTTGTTAAGGCCCAGGTCTTCTTGGTTCCTTGTTAAGGCCCAGGTCTTCTTGGTTCCTTGTTAAGGGCTAGGTCTTCCTGGTTTCTTGTTAGGAGGCTAGGTCTTCCCAGTGCCTCCTTTCATGGGGCTAGGTCTCCCTAGTGCCTCCTTTCATGGGGCTAGGTCTTCCTGGTTCCCTGTTAGGGGCTAAGTCTTCCTGGTTCCCTGTTAGGGGCTAAGTCTTCCTGGTTCCCTCTTTCATGGGGCTAGATCTTCCTAGTTCCCTCTTTCATGTGGCTAGGTCTTCCTGGTTCCCTCTTTCATGGGGCTAGATCTTCCTAGTTCCCTCTTTCATGGGGCTAGGTCTTCCTGGTTCCCTCTTTCATGGGGCTAGGTCTTCCTGGTTCCCTCTTTCATGGGGCTAGGTCTTCCTGGTTCCCTCTTTCGTGGGGCTAGGTCTTCCTGGTTCCCTCTTTCATGGGGCTAGGTCTTCCTGGTTCCCTCTTTCATGGGGCTAGGTCTTCCTGGTTCCCTCTTTCCTAGGGCTAGGTCTTCCTGGTTCCATTTTATGGGGCTAGGCCTTCCTGGTTCCCTCTAATATGGGGCTATGTCTTCCTGGCTCCCTCTAATATGGGGCTAGGTCTTCCTGGTTCCCTCTAATATGGGGCTAGGTCTTCCTGGTTCCCTCGAATATGGGGCTAGGTCTTCCTGGTTCCCTCTAATATGGGGCTAGGTCTTCCTGGTTCCGTCTAATATTGGGCTAGGTCTTCCTGGTTCCCTCTAATATGGGGCTAGGTCTTCCTGGTTCCCTCTAATATGGGGCTAGGTCTTCCTGTTTCCCTCTTCTATGGGGCTAGGTCTTCCTGGTTCCGTCTTCTATGGGTCTTCCTGGTTCCGTCTTCTATGGGTCTTCCTGGTTCCCTCTTCTATGGGGCTAGGTCTTCCTGGTTTCCTCTTTCATGGGGCTGTGTTTTCCTGGTTCTCTTCCTTGGGGCTAGAGCTTCCAGGTTCCCTCTTTCATAGGGTTAAGTCTTCTAGGTTCCATCTTGCTTGGGGCTAGAGCTTCCTGGGTGCGTCTTCCTTGGGGCTAGGTCTTTCTGGTCCCTCTTCCTTGGGGCTAGGCCTTTCTGGTCCCTCTTCCTTGGGGCTAGGTCTTCCTAGTCCCTCTTCCTTGGGGCTAGGTCTTCCTGGTTCCTTTTCCTTGGGGCTAGGTCTTCCTGGTCCCTCTTCCTTGGGGCTAAGTCTTCCTGGTCCCCTCTTCCTTGGTACTGTCTTCCTTTTTCCCTTTTTAGGGCTAGAATTTCCTGGGCCCTCTTCTTTGAGGTTAGATCTGTTTGAGTGACTCTTCCTTGAGGCTAGGCCTTCCTGGGTCCCTGTTTCTAGGGGCTAGGTAATTTTGGAGGCTTGATCTGTCTGGTACTCTTTCTGAAGCTGTCTTCCAAACTCTCTCTTCCTGGGGGCTAGGTTTTCCAAGAGTAGCTTCCTGGAGGCCTCGCTATCTCCCTATCCTGGAAGCCTCGCTGCCTTCATTTTTCCTGGAGGCTTCATTAGTGCCCTCTTCCTGGAGGCTTAATTAGTGCCCTCTTCCTGGAGGCTTCATTAGTGCCCTCTTCCTGGAGGCTTCATTAGTGCCCTCTTCCTGGAGGCTTCGTAAATGCCCTCTTCCTGGAGGCTTCGTAAATGCCCTCTTCCTGGAGGCTTCTTCGTTAGTGCCTTCTTCCTGGAGGCTTCGTTAGTGCCTTCTTCCTGGAGGCTTCGTTAGTGCCTTCTTCCTGGAGGCTTTGTTAGTGCCTTCTTCCTGGAGGCTTTGTTAGTGTCCTCTTCCTAGAGGCTTCGTTTGTATCCTCTTCCTGGAGGCTTCGTTAATGTCCTCTTCCTGGAGGCTTCGTTAGTGTCCTCTTCCTGGAGGCTTCGTTATTCTCTTCCCGGAGGCCTCGTTAGTGTTCTCTTTCTGAATGCCTCGTTAGTGTCCTCTTCCTGGAGGCCTCGTTGTGTCCTCTTATTAATATTCATTTTAGTATTTTGCACCGTTTGCCAGTTTCACGCTTTCGTAAGAAGTGATTTGTGTGTGCCGAATTGGGAGCAGACCCTCCAGGTAAAAATTACAATATATCCAGCGAGTATATTTCGAGGAACCTCAATCGTTCCCTATAATTTAGGTGTTCAACTGAGTTTGCGCAGGTTTTCTATGCATTTTCTCTGCAGTTTATCTTGCCTTAAACGAAGTTTAAGAGTACAGCTGTATTCCAGTTCAGAGACCCAGTGACTTAATAATTGGCTTAGCATCTTTGTTTTGAAGGTTTTGGTTAACCAGCCTATCATTTTCCTTGCAATTTCAATAGTTACATTGTTGTGATCCTGTAAACGGAGGTTACACAAATAACCCGCACATAAAAGAAAGAAGCTTACGACGACGTTTCGGTCCGACTTGGACTTTGTAAATGGTCCAAGTCGGACCGAAACGTCGTCCTAAGCTTCTCTTATGTGCGGGTTATTTGTGTATCGTTCCAGTCACGGTATTGTGCCTTTTTTGTTATTTATGTAAAGGGAGGTCTTCACGTTAGTCTTTCGCTCACCTGAGTTGTTTGAGTCTATTTTATACGCCATTCCAGTTTTAATTGTCTCGACGTTTTCCAGAGCTTTGTAACTGAAACTTGCTATATAACTCTTGGAGGTTTAGTACTACTTTTTTTTATTATAAGAATAATGTAACTGAAACTTGTCCATATTGAATATTTTATTGTGGTTGTGGTCCATTGGAAAACAGTTTATTCCCGATTGGAGATTTGCTTTGTCCGCAAAGGATGCCGCTTAAACAAATCGTAGGACGTCGTTTACAACGGTGATACGGTGTTATAATTTACCTTTCGGATATGAGACTGAGAAAGAGAGTTGAGGCGAGTATTGTGCCTTGGGGAACAGTCTTTCAGTGTGGCAGCCTCTTACTAAACGTTGTTCACTATTACTCATACGAGTTTAGCTGTTACTTTCTGATACAGTAATAATTTTAACGATCTGGAAAATATTGGCCAGTTAGTTTCAAGTTAGCACCTGCTTCAGACTTGCCTGTAACAATATTTAGAGTTGTGTTCTCGAAGCCCGGCCATAGGCCAGACGTCAACATTGATAGGTTATGAGTCCACTTTCCTCGGCATGCGAGTCTACAAACTATTTTTACGAGATTCGCGGGAAAGCGCTAATTCCATGTTGGTAATAAAGCATATGGGAGATGAGAACTAACTAGGTTAGATACGACGAAGGGAAAGGTAATTTCAGTTCCTTGGATCAAGATCCCTTCGCCGGCATCAAATCCACCCCCTCCCCCATTTCAAGTTTAAACTTAATACACTGCATGTGATATGGACGGCCTTTCACCAGTTAATTAATACATGATTGGAATTCCTGGCTGCCAGGCTGCATACTGGTGGGTTAGATAGCATGTCGACCCTCACCCCTGACCAGGAAAAGTCCCGAGGATGAGCGGAGTTAGTGGCAGTATGTCTCCACAGTTGGTGAAAAAGATACAAGTGGAGAGGGGTTCTGTATATGTAAAACGTTTCACCCAACATTGGGCCTTTTTCAAGACTTGAAAAAGCCCAGTGTTGGGTGAAACTTTGAGGATGAGTTGATTATTTACGAGACTGCCCTCTTCCCTGCTAGAGAAAATCGCGAATGAGTTGATATCGACAATAGACTAAGTCTTCTAAGACTTCCTTTAGACAATCTTAAGAAAATCTTTCAAGAGTGAACATGCCTTGTTTGTTTAGAGGCCCAGTCCTCTTCTCAAGCAAGAGAAAGCCGAGCGATAATGAGTTCATTATTAAAATGTTAAAAAAGTATGTAGTACCAGCGAAGTAATGTATCTGGATTATGTAAGGCAGTGTATAAATAATTCCAAGCATAAAAATTAGTTGTAAGGATTTTGTACTTTGTATCCAGCCTCATACATGACGTTTATTTATTCACAGCATACAAAGTGAAAAGTTTTCCATGACCACATTAGTTAACTTGATGGCCCTTCGCGCATTCCGCAATTACGTTCATGCAAATGTATTTATAAATGAGATTTATATAGGAAGTCGTGCAAACAGAATCGACTGTAGTCTAGCATATTTGATGTGAAATGGTATTTTCGCAAGAAAGACCAGCATTTAAATGAGTTAAAAGGGGAACATTTCCCATTCTGGTGTGTTAAGGTAATACATCCGCTAATATATAATTTGGGTTGGAGGGGATTAGTTGCTCAATATAATTGATTTCCTGACCACTTTATACTCCGAGAGGTGTACACTTCTCGGTATATAAATCTACTTTATTTTAGAGATAAGTATCCTTGATTGCCGCTGGTGACTTTAGCCATAAACACCCGCCCACATGCAATCGATAGGCTATAAACGCAATGAACTAATTATGTAACTATTGTTTTCAATGTAGTTCCAGTTATAAATTCAAGAAGAACCGAACCTGTTTTCATTACATAATTTTAACCCATCTCATGGAATTAAAAAAAAAAAACTGCTGTGCTCGTTACAGTAATAAGAGTCGATGCCGGATTGAATGTATGTACAGTATTGGATATTAAGTTAACTAGTTACGATCCCTGTA